CACACACACACACACACACACACACACACACACACACACACACACACACACACACACACACACATATATATATATATATACACTCTAAAATGAGATAAGCATGTAATGATTATATCATGTAATATTAAACATATGGCGATTTTTAAAAAATCCATTTTTAAGGAAACCGTGACTACCACTAGAAAACGGCCGTGAAATTAAACTTCTATTGTATTGAAACCGTTTTGAGTAACGATAAGTTTTTGACTTTATATAAGTTGGGAAAATAAACTACTTATATAGCGAAGATAAAATTTATATCAACTTCCTCTGTGTGACAGAGAAAGGGCGATGGGCGATCATTGGTATCTGTTTTGCTCGAATTACGTCTCTCTCTCTCTCTCTCTCTCTCTCTCTCTCTCTCTCTATTTTCGCTCTCTTTCTCTATTTCCGTTGTTTTTTCTCGAAAGAGGACTGTTAATCGGCCGTTACGATTGTAAGCATAGCGAGACTAGATCGCGTGACTATATCACGGCGCATGAAACTTTGCAGTTTTGCCAGCCATTCTTGTACCGCGGCACAACCTAGCTAGCGACGAGAACACCGTCCTCTACAACACCTCCCTCGAGGAGCTCAGCGTCAGCGTGCCGGAAAACACAAGCTTCCACGCGACGTTGAATCACCAGCACAATCAGCAGCAAGGCATACCGCACTCCCCGCAGCAACAACAACAGCAACAACCAAATAATCCGTACCAAGGAATGCAGGTCGGTAACTGGAATGGATCACGATCATCATTAACAAGTTAGCTTGCCCAAAATCAATAGTCAATCTGTTTCCCTATGAAACAATTCATTTCTTATCACTCTTATTTTTAATTATTTGTCGCTGTCAATGCGTCACAAGTCACAAGCCACACGCCACAAGTAATAATATATTATAATATAAATAATAATAATAGCTATAAATATAATAGATAATGTACTATTTTTGTTATTTAAAATAATAAAACAATTATCATTTTTTTGTGATGATGTGATCTCTAATTAATTGCATGACCTCATACTTGAACTATATGCATATCTTGTACACTGATTTTTACACAGATTATATACCTTGTGTATAACACCCTATGTAATATAACGAGGGAGCATAATGAACGCGCTGTCGGATTTGGAAATGTGATTACTTGCACATATTATTTATGTTTAGAGCATGCAAGCAACGAGTCCGGCAAGCGTCGGAAGCTTGGGAAGCGTACAGGGCTCGCCTCATCCCGCTCCAGGATCCATGGATCCGCCGGCAGATACGCCGCCACCGGGCTACATTAGCGAGGATGGCGACAATATGGACCACAACGATAACATGTCCCTGTCACGCTTGTCACCCAGTCCTGTAGACGCGCAGCCGGTTATGTATTGCGAGCCCGCGTTTTGGTGAGTACTAGGTTGATTAATGGACATGTTGCGCGTGCAAGTATATCGCACTCTCCTAAATCACATAAACGTATCACGGTGCCTTGTACGTTGTCCGCAAGATTTTAATCGAGAGTTTCCAATTCCTCTAGCGACCGCCGCGACAACTTACGGAACGAACATCTTCTTTGGAATTTATCGAATTAATATTGACGTGAAATGTGAAATTGGATTCTAAGAGATCGACATTAATATAGGAATATTAAAAACCGGAAATTAAATTAATTTATATAAATAATATATTTATTTATTCCATCTCGCGATCCATAATTGCTCTTCGCTCTTGATTTTCGTGCCGTGTTTGCCACTTATAACTTTTACTTACTAGGTGTTCAATTAGTTATTACGAGCTAAATACGAGAGTGGGCGAGACGTTTCACGCATCGCAGCCGAGTATAACCGTGGATGGTTTCACCGATCCAAGCAATTCGGAGCGCTTCTGCCTCGGGTTGCTGTCCAATGTGAATCGCAACACAGTGGTCGAGCAGACTAGGCGACACATTGGCAAAGGTGTCAGGTTGTACTACATCGGTGGTGAAGTGTTCGCCGAATGTCTATCTGATTCGAGTATCTTCGTACAAAGTCCGAATTGCAATCAGCGTTATGGCTGGCATCCGGCTACCGTTTGCAAAATACCGCCAGGTAAGCAAAGTAATATACCTCCTTATTCATTGTAATTTGCTTTTTCCTCGGACAAGATAATATACTTTTTTTTACTTTGTTTAGTTTTAAGACAATTTCGTCTTTAAATTATTTAATTACGAGTGTGTCCAAATTCTTTGCACAAATCTGATTTGTGTAAGCGTGTTAGCACATGGACAATTTGAAAATTAATAAACTATTAGTTGTTCATTTAACTTTCTATATTTTCATTCGTTCCTTCCCCACACATATTTTTTAATCTCGTTTGGAATGAAATTTATCGAAAGCCTTCGAGAGACTTTCCACATGCATTCTTTCAACAAGATCTGTTTTCAGCGAGATTCTTCTATCTCCTACCTGAATTATTCAGTAATTATTTTCCCAATGAATAATTGACGTTTCTTATCTATATAAAATAATTATTACATAAATAAATCATTTGCTTATCGTTCGTCGTTTTCAGAATCTGTGTCAAATGTATTTTGTTGGCAGGATGCAATCTGAAGATCTTCAACAACCAGGAATTCGCGGCGTTGCTGTCGCAATCGGTGTCGCAGGGTTTCGAAGCAGTATATCAGCTGACGCGTATGTGCACAATCCGAATGAGCTTCGTGAAGGGCTGGGGCGCGGAATATCGCCGGCAGACAGTCACCTCAACTCCCTGCTGGATTGAGCTGCATTTAAACGGACCGTTGCAGTGGCTCGACAGAGTACTCACGCAAATGGGCTCACCCCGCCTACCCTGTTCCTCGATGTCTTAAGTCTTTACAACCTCCATCCGTTCTTTCATGAGAGAAGAACATGTGAGAATATCCTTCGTGTGCTATCGTCGTCGATTGATCGATCCATTCGTTTCTTCTATTCGTTTCATCGCATACGGTATGTGAAAGTTGAAATCCGTTGTTCAGATTTCCTTCGAACGAACGCTGCTCAGTGACGCGTGTAAGAAGAAGAAGAAGAAGAAGATCTTTACGTATGATCTTTACGTTCGAAGATGCAGTTAGTTGAAAGAATTAAGGCTCAGATACAACGATACCAAGTTTTCTTCGCGCCGATTCTTGACGGCTTTCTCGAATTGTCGCGCGATCAACCACGAAGCAATCACGATGTGTGAAGTACGCAAACGAAAGGATGAGAAATTGAAATGGCGGCGTTCGCACAACAGTTGAATATCATAGATATATTAAAACTTGATGTCCTACTACAGTTTGTTGTGATTGAAGAGAGAAAACACGGTGATGCGCAAGGACGCGAATAAGATACATGGAGCTTCGCCTCGACGCACTTATATCGCGCGCATGTACACCGCAATTGGCGTACAAGATATATCCAGGGTGATCATAATCCGAGTTTAGTCGATTCATAATAAGAAATAAAAAGAAAATGTGTGTGTGTGTGTGTGTGTGTGTGTGTGTGTGTGTGTGTGTGTGTGTGTGTGTGTGACAGAGAGAGAGAGAGAGTGCGATTTATATATATATTATATATATATGTATATATGTACCGTGCGCTAACAGAGCTCAGTCTTTTACATATTTTTATTGCTTATTCAGACAGACAAAACTATTACAGTCATACTACAGTAAACGCCAGATCTTTTCCAGATATAATCTATCTACATTATACATAATATATTATGTATGTATGTTGACTTTAGCTCATCATAGTGGAAGGAGTTCACTTGAACATTCTATATTCACACACAACACGCACATACACATACGAACACACATACACGCGCACGAACGCACACGCACGCACGCACATACATATATATACATGTATATATATATCATGTTTTACGATATTTG